TTTTGGTGAGAAGGAGTTTCATTCTTGTTGCCCAGGCTGGAGTGCAGTGGTGTAGTCTCGGCTCACTGCAACCTCCGCCTCCCAGGTTCAAGCTATTCTCCTACCTCAGTCTCCCAAGTAGCTGGGATTACAGGTGTGTACCACCACGCCCAGCTAATTTTTGTATTTTTAGTAGACACAGGGTCTCGCCATTTTGGCCAAGCTTGTCTTGAACTCGACCTCAGGTGATGGCCCCCTCAGTTTTCCCTTGCTTCTTAAGCATATAGAATGCAGTTGTAATAGCTCTTTTAATGTCCTTGTATACAGGTTGGATTTCATTTTTTTTCTCCTCATTGTGGTTCATATCTTCCTGTTTCTTTGCTTGCCTGGTACTTTTTGGTTAGATACCAGACATTGAATTTTAATGTTGGATTAAAATTCAATGTCTGATATCTTAATGGATGCTAATGTATTTTTATTCCTATAAAAATTCTTTTTTTTTTTTTTTTTGAAACAGAGTCTTGCTCTTCTGCCGCCAAGGCTGGAGTGTGGTGGCGCAATCTCAGCTCACTGCAACCTCTACCTCCTGGATTCAAGAGATTCTCCTACCTCAGCCTCCTAAGTAGTTAGAACTATAGGCATGCGCCACCATACTTGGCTAATTGTCGTATTTTTAGTGGAGACGGGGTTTCACTCTGTTGGCCAGGCTGGTCTTGAACTCCTGACCTCAGGTGATCTGCCTCCCTCGGCCTCCCCAAGTGTTGGGATTATAGGTGTGAGCCACTGCATCTGGTCTATTCTTATAAATATTCTTGAGGTTTATTTTGGGATGCAGTAGTTACTTAGAAATATTTAGCTGCTTTTAAGTCTTGTTTTTGAGCTTTGTTAGGCAGCATTTAGTCTAGAGCTAATTTTCCCCACTCCTGAGGCAAAGCCTTCCATGTACTCTAATCTGGGCCCTGTGAAATACGAGGTTTTCTACTCCACCTGGGGAATACACACTGTCGGCCCTTTGTGGGCTTCGGGGATTGTTCTTTCTGATGTTCTTCCTCCAGCCTCAGGTCTGCTCACGCATGCACAGATCAGCACTCTGCCAGTGACCCCAGAGGGACCTTGAAGGCCTCTGGAGCTCGTTCTCCGTGGCTCTTGTCTCTGGCCCTCGCTCTCTGCGCTCTTGTCTCTGGTCCTCTGCCCTGTGACTCCAGCTGCCTTGGCCTTACTGGACTCCCAGCTCCATCTTCTCAGCTCCGGGCATCTGCTGGGCTCTGCCTGGCTCCTCTGCCTTTACAAGGCCTGGAAACTCTCCAGGCAGTAAGTTGAAGAAATGGTAGGACTTAGCTCATTTAAGGATCACTATCCTTCATTGCCAGTGTTTTAAAAGATTGCCTGGTATTTTGGGATTTTTTCAGGTAGGAGGGTAAATCTGATCCCTTTTTCTCCAGGGCTGGAAGCAGAAGCTGTTTTTAAATTTCGATCCTTTATGTGAATGAATAAATAGCACTGGATACAATGTTGCTAAATAACTCTTGTATTTCCTTAAAGAAAGCAGCCTCTCAGATTAACTTGC